AGAGGGCGACTGGGCACATTTCTAACCTCATTAAGCTTATTTATTGTAAGGATTAAATGAGATGATCAATGATTGAAAGCTTAGAAGATTGTTCAGTATATATAGCAGGCACTCAATGTAGCTCTATTTTTAAAAAATTTCCTGATATTTTCTTAGGATAAACACCTAGAAATAGAATGACTGGGTCAAAGGAGATGCACATTCTTAGGGTTATTGTCATCTACTACCAAGTTATTGTCTAGAAAGGCTATACCACGAGCAGGAAGAAGGAGCACCCAGTTGATGGTATTCTTGCCACCATACCATAATATCATTTATTTCAATCTTTCCCTATAGTGGAAAAATGACACCTAATTCTTTCAGTTTAATTTCTTTGGTTACTGATCAGTGTGAATATTGCTGTAAGTATACTTGCATTCCTTTTTGTGATCTTGTATCACAAAATGATACATATTCATATCATTTGCCTTTTTTCCTATAGTGTAGTTTGTTCTTATGAATTTGTAAAACTGTTGCATAAATTAACAATCTTAGCTTTCAGTTTTAAATATGATGCAATTTTTTTCTCTTTGTAATTTGCATTTAATTTTTTTCAGTGCTGTTTGTACTATACCAAAGTTTAAAATTTTTCATGTAACCACATCTACTTAGCTTCCCATTATGATTTGTTCTGTTACTTTTGTGCTTAAGGAAATCCTCCCTATCCAGAGATGAGATAAATACTAGCCAATATTTCCCTCCAGTATTTTGTTGCAGTCTCATTATTAAAGTTAGCTCTTTAATCTATCTGTAGTTAGATTTGGTATATGGTGTGCCACAAAGGTCTAAATTCACCTTCCTCCAAATAGCATCCTTTCCGAGGGCTGTGTGGTCTTCTCTCCTATGCGTTCTCTCCCCCTGGGTGGGCCCGAGTAAAGGCAAGGCAGTGGGAAAGCTGCGGCCCAAGCAGCGCACCAACATCTCCACACCTGGGGAATGAGCTGTTTCTCAATCCCAGGGTTTTCTCCTAAATAGTGAAGGCGTTCGGAAAGTCCAGGGGAGGCGAGAACATCTGCTTTCTTCACATTGGCAATAACCACATCAGTGGGAGAGAAAACAGGTCTGCTGGCCCCAAGAAGCCCTCACAACTGCCGGCTGAATGGTCCTGCTGGTTTACAAACCAAGTCCATCCCCTTCTGAGTTCGACTCCACCCATTGAA